CATACCAAAAGACTAAAAAATTAAAATACCAAATATTGCCCCAAAATTTGGAATATTAGCTGCATTTGGAAGGAAAGCATGCCCTTACTCCTTAATGGCACTTAAAATACTTCTACTCTAACCGAACTGAAAGTAGTGGATTGCAACAGGAATGGAAGCTGCTGAGTTCAAATAAAATTCACACAGACTGTGTTTCCGCCATCACAGCTTCATCAGCATGGGTTGTAGTTTACTGCTATTAGACCCAGTTGAGCAATATTTTGAGATAGTGAAACAATTGGTTTTCCTCTTAATTAATATGCACTCAAGTCTGCAAATCCCATTAACCTTTCCTGGTTACTGCATAGGAGGTAAAATTCAAGAAGATCCTAAGTAGGAAACATTCAAGGCAGTAATTCATCAACAGTTTCCAAAGACCGTTACGGCAAACCTTAATTGTCTACGAAAAATTGTCTACAGCCTGGCGCAGTAGAAACAAAAGTTTTTGTGCATTTTATCCCAAGTTGGATACGTTAAAAAGTTGCAAACGAGTAATCCTTAGGTAAGATTGTTCTGAGAGAAGGCACACAAACGAGATCAATCACCAATGCTGCTCTCAGAAGTCCGAGGTATGACCACCACATGAAAGCCCCGTGAAAGCCCGCTCATGTGCAAGAGGCGGCGGAGGCACGAAGAGGACTGTGGCATCACTACAGATGTACACGTTTGCCAGAGGCCTTTGACTTTCAGAACTCTAACTAGATCATGTAACTCTTCACACAGACAAAGAGTAGGGAAGAAAGGTTGATCTTAGCCACCATCCTGAAGCATTCCTCATTGCTATGACAACAAAGATGGTTTTAAAATTTAAGGAAAACCTCAAAAATCTATTATTTTAACATTTAAAAAATAGCTCAGATTTTGTCCTGTGCATATATAAAGAACCACTTCCCTAAAAAGAATCATAGCCTTTGTTATTTAGCCCTTAGCAATAATTGGGACTGATTCTCATTCATTTTCTGGATCATATAGGAAACCAAATGGCCCATTCTCCTCAATTAATATGAACATGTTGTATAATCTGTACAGGTAGAAAAGAAACAACTAGTTCAGTTTCTTATCCAATAAGGTTTACCTACTTTCTTCACATCTGAAATAGTTTTTCAGATCAATATTTAGGTGATTGCTTTCAAAATACAGTTAGGTGTATCTGCCTGCTCTGAAAAATCTTGAATGGTGCCAGTCCTCACCATTCGGGCTTTCCATCTCTCAAATTTAGAGCTGCTGTTCGACTCTCTCTCCCAGTGTCTGTATGTATACTCTGAACTTAGGCTACTTCTAAAACCTTCCTTTTTCGTGCATAAGTATGTTTAGTCTTTAGAGTCTGTGTCACACTTACAGCATTCACGCAGATACTGAGCTATTCACACCTAAATTTTAGAGGAGTGCTTTGCAGTGCTAGAAGGAGATGTACTGGCCTGATTCTTTAATCCATTTCACCTTGCATAATTTCCAGGCAATAACCTTATATTCCAAACTGAAGCATAGGATTATTTCAGTACTAAAACAGTCTGCAGTTATAAAGTATTTAAAGACATTTCAGTGTCACTTAACAAGGAAATATTTAGTCAATCTACTACTATTACAGTAATGCTCAAATTGCCATCTGGAAGACCCAGATTCAAAAAATCAGTCTCTAGATCCCAGGCTCAGCTCACGAAGGCCGAATACATTGTAAAGAAGATGCAATTAGTCTCTGGGGAAAGGCTTCTGCAGGCTGTCATTGGCTATGCAGCATGCAGCACACTCACTCGTGTAGATAAAAATAACATATTGAAATGGCAGCTGCTCCGCAAAGGAAGAGGATTTGAGCAGGGATAAAAATATACCTTAAAAAGAGATAAAAATGGTAAAATGCCTATGAAAAGCATTAAAAGGTAGTACTGAATGTACTGAATCTGTGATACTTCAGATTCACCTTTGAACCACAAGCAGGAAATGCTATTTATTTCACACAGCAAGACAATCCAAGTACATAATTATTACTGTCCTAAACAAATCCGAGGCTAGCACAGCCTAATCACCTCGGTCAGGAAGTACACACTGTGAATGGATTTTGTTAAATTTTGAAGAATTCCTACTTACAATTTTATTACAGGATCCAAAACCTGCTGCTCTGAACATACCATTTAAAGATAGAAATTATTTCCAAGAGACAGCGGGTTCCAAACTGTGACTGGTATCTATTATCATGTCCATACTCTTTAAGTTCTTTTGACGGTACATTTTAACATAGTACCTCCTTCTCTTGAAGTCTATTACAATATGAAAGCAGGTGGTGGTAGTGTTACACACTAAACTCATGTTGAGTCAATATTACAGCCTCTCAAAGACTCACAAGAAAGCAGTGAGACCTATTAGATCATCTAAATTATTTCCATGCCATTCTGAGATTGCTCTCTACAGTATGTTTTATTAGTGTCTTGCCCAGGCTATTTTTAAAGTCCTAAACCCAGAAGCCTTTCCTTTCTGAGAGTATCCATCTTTAGTTTAAAAGCATTGTATGCACTGATTAACCCATTTAGAATGCAAAACTAAAAACTTCTTATGGATCGGCCTATTTAACTGCAGGTGTTTTGAAATGACAAGCAAGATTTGAACTGAAACCATAATTTGTCAAATTTTAAGATTTCTAGATCCAAGGCTTTTAAAGATTCTTTTCTATTAGTTTAAATGAAGATGAGGCAAGAAGAAAAAAGTGAAAACAAGAGAGAGACAGAATCTGTGTTAAGACATAATCATACACCAACTGATAGAGATGGAAAAAAGAAGCACAAAAGGCGTGTGACTATGAGCCCTTCTTCAGACTTGGCTTGAAATAGGTTTTGTACCAGCCAGTTACAATTTTTTTCCAGCTATATCAGTTGGTTTAACTAAAGGTGTTTCCTCTCCTTACAAATCCTGCCCTACTCATGGACAATCACTGCAGCATTACCACAACACAGTAGATGCTAGTTTGAATAAAGATCCTTTTCTAAGTATATGACAGCAACTAAGTTACTGTACGGCGTGCCAGATAAGCTGCAGCAAAATGCAGTGTACTGCATATTTCGCTATAAGCAAACAATGTTTTTACTCAGGAAATACTTGAAAAATGAGACTTCACAATGAAGAATTTCATGTAGGATCACTTAAATTTTGCATCTCAGTTCTGAGGCTTTTTCTTCAGAGTTTTATAACTATTAACCGAAACAGAACAATTTATAAAGAACTTAAGAAATAATTCCCAGAACAATACCTGATTGATATTACTGTGTTTCGATCAGTATGATACAACGCACATAAAACTTTAGACAAACAATAGATAATCTGCAGAGGGGATTAACAATCAAGCTCAAGCAGGAATTAACGTGTATCAGAACTATACATATTATCTGCTGACACACTTATTCTATCACTCTTAAAACACGGTAAGCACTCAAAAAATATTTCAATTGCAAAGAATCTTTTCAAACCATTTAAACTACCTGTCACAATACTGTACAGAACTACCCTTGTTTACTTGCTGAATATAAATACATATGACCCCAACATTGTTAAATTCAAATTTAAAGGGAAATTTTATTTGTTCTATAGCCCTGTCACCTTGGGGACAATCTTGCCAGATTTCAGCAGCTAAAACCTGAGCTGGGCCTGCCAAACAGTTGAATAGAAGGTCTCAGGGCAAAGCCCAGGTGCTGCAGTCAAGGAAGAGCACTGATTCTTGGTTCAGTATACAATGCTGGGGGCATAGGATGTTGCCGGACAGCATATAAAAGAAATGAAAGCTATACTACTTGTCTTTAATAAAAGCCTGGCACCCACTACATAAGGAAGGAAAGTATTTTGGGTTTTTAATTCATTTGGCATTACTTTTATCTACATCAAGCTCTCCTTGTCAATTCAATGGGAAAGTGGATTTCTTGGTGTTTCACCCTGAATTAATGCACAGTACTGGGGAGTGAAACACAAGCTGCATTTCAGACCACAGTGAATGCAAAAAAAAATGCAAGTTATTGCCAGTTTATCAAAGGTTGTCTTCTGAGCCAGAATCACTACTCAAGCAAGCCAGATTTCATTAACACCAGAAGCCTTGATATCAAAAGAAATTTACTTTCAGAAACCACAAATGCAGTTTTGGGTTTTTTTAGTGGTCTCATGACTGGTAACAAAACTGAATGCTTAGATAATGAGCATAAGTAAGAGTTTGACTACTTTTACTTATACAAGTAACCATCAAACTGAAATAGATTACTCATTATACAGATCAAGAATAAGAAACTAGACTTCCGAATTGTATACCCTAAGCAGTTTCTATTCAGGTTTAGATAAAATATGTAGACAATGCTTTGAATATTTTCTAAGTTGAGGTATTTTCAAAGAAAGATTACCTTTGCCAATTAAAAAAAAAAAAAAAAAAAAACAACTCCTAACTGCAAGTCAGTTCAACCCCCTTTTCCTTTTGGTACAAAGAATTCTGCAATTCAAGGCAGCAACAAAAAGGGAGGTAAAGAACTAAAAAAAAAAAACTGCAATGAAATACTCAGTGTTCTTCTCAAAATGACATAGTTAAACCTCAT